CACCGAGCAGACTGTGATCGCAACGCATAACCCGGAATCCATCATTATGGTTTTCCAAAACAGAAATGTATCCCGTGTAAGCTTCCTGTCGTGCCAGGAGAGAATATCCTTCGTGCTCAATTGCAGAATTGACACCGGTCATTCCAGCGAAATGGACATTTGAAGTCACTGAGAAAATGATAGAGGGAATGGCTAGGACTAGCCATTTCGACGGGATGAGCGCAGCGTAAGCGGCCGCGAGGAGCATTTGCATGCCGACTCGAGTGAAAATAACCGAGGACCCAACGATTGATGAAAGAACATATTTGGCAATATGTTCACCAGCCGAATAGAAGATATATGTACCTATCAAGGGGACATGCTCAACAACCACGTCGCCCTGCGCTTCGAGTCTCAAAGAAGTCTGGATTTGCTTTCCGGCATATGCGACTGTCAGCAGCACCAGAGGATAGTAACCACAGAGTTCGGTGACCACTGGGCCTGTGGGGTTACCAATCTTCGAGCTTTGCTGCTTGATAAAGTACTGGAGAGTCGGAACCCAGAAGGCCAACACGGGGAGCATGAAACCACCGAGACGGCCCAGGCGCTTGAGAATTTTATCTTTCAGTAGCCATCCGACACCGCCGGAGATGGCCACTCCAAAACTATGGAAGATATGCGCGGGGAAGGATCCATAAATCGGAGACAAAACCAGCTTGGAAAGGGGCGAGTAGAAGGCAAGCAGGATCAGCAAGATCACGCCGGTAGTGAACCGCCGGAGATCAACCCGCCGCAAAAGGTCCTGGGCAGACATGATTTCCAGGTGCAGTTCTGGATATAAGTGGCGGAGGAATCAACCAAGATAGCGCATCTGTCAAGATTGTTAGCAAACTAGCAACCCCAAATCTGTATCCTTTTCTCCCTTATTGCAATAGACATCCAATGAATAATAAAAGATATGTTGAATCGGATGCTCGACTTACAAGTTCAAAACAGACACCTATCAAGTAAATCTTCAACAAGAAAAAAAGTTATCGCGGAGATGAAGGCACTTTTGCCGCCGAGCTCCGCGTTTCCAAACTTCCTCCTTTCCACCTCCACACTCTGAAACACAAAGATGCCACATTTTCCCAAGGATTCCGGATTCATGATGAAAGATACATCCAGCGCAAAGAAAGCTGTCACAGTCAAAAACCGTCGCAAGCGGTATCTGGACTTACACCCAGAATACTTCTCGGCGGGGCTTGAGTTAGCCGGTCCGCCTGCTCTCTTCTCTCCCATTGCCAGTTGATTATTTTACACATGTCTGGCCTGGTTTATGGCCGGTGCCAGCTGGCTTTGCGTACAGAAGAAAACCACCAAAAAATATATAATGCTAATCCTGGTTGACTTCTCCGCAGACCCGTTACTATACGATCGCCTCATCCGCCGATTCCAAACAACGCAAGAAAGAGAGGCCGAGGGACGAGCAAAGGGCTTCTCGGGTGTCCTAGAGACTGACCTCCTGCGCTCTGAAGCCAAGATGGAGGCGATCTCACACCCGGACCCTAATGCTATGATGAGCTACACTCGCGGCCCAGATGGGGAGATCCTTGCCGAGGACCGTGATGAAATACCCCCAAATAAGGAGGAAGGCGAGCGACTCTGGCGGTGGGAGATGGCATTGCGCTTCATGCAGGGCAATGACACTGATTTCGATTACACGACTGTTGATCAAAATGAGGACTACGATGATCACTCGGATAAGCAAGACCAGTATTTCGAGGACGAGGAGCCCGAATGGGTGGTTGACGGTACTCGCGGGGACGACGCTCGCCCAAATCTCCAGGGTGAAACAGGCATACAGGATTTCTAGATACAGAGGAACTTGTTACACGTGCGCTTGAGATATAAGCCACAACAACGAGGTTCGCTCGCTGGCTACACGTGACGCTATAAGCCATTGCTCGTGGTGGTCTATCTGAAACCACTCGGCTACCTCTGAAATATCCCGCCCTCGAAACCCCACAGAAGAGGAACTTGACAGTGTTTTCAAGTTTCCTACCCCATCGACAGCTTCGTGTTCGCCGTTGGGATGTGGGTGTGTCGGTACGATCTAAAAATGTCTGTAATGGCCGCTGGCTGCCATGAGTCGCTATCCCAAGAGACAGCAGATCTTCACACTCGATACCATTGTTGAGGCTGTTCTGTTGCTATGAGGATATTTCTGGGTTCATGCTGTTCAGCTACTGGTTCTTGCTCATGAGACTTGTCTGTTGTCCATTTCTGACCATCGGGGCTCCAATTCAGACTGAACACCCCACTTGGATCTTTACCTAGCTTCCTTTGTATGATACATTTGTGGCAATGCTAAGACGAATAGTATGGATGTATCTACTCAGGCTCGTAATTTAGCCTTCGAAGATCATACCACAATTCTAGCTAATGAGCAATGAAGCTTGAATAAATCTCTATTTGCAGCGATACCATGTTCTTATCCACTAAGAATCTGTGAAAGTCAGGTCTCGGCCTTATATGCTCGCTATTCATGCAGCGCCCTTGGCCAAAAGTGCAATGGCCTTCTCCCTGAGCTTGAACTTCTGAATCTTTCCACTTGCTGTCTTGGGGAAAGGCTCCAAGGGACCCAAAAAGAAGACATATTTCGGAACTATAAGCAAAAAAAAATCGTCAGCTCAGTCCATGGGACTATTTTTAGGATGATCGAAGACCAGCTGAAAACAATGGGAAACGATGCAGCTCTGGAGTAGTCCCGAGGGCCGGTTATGACTTACTAAGATGGTTGCTAAGCTTTTCGCGCACCCATTGCTGAATATCCTCGGCAGTGACTGTCTTTGAGCCTTGATCCCGAGCAACAACAAAAGCAGCCACTGCCTCGCCATATCTGACGTCGGGGACACCGACGACAGACACATCTGCAACGCCGTCGTTGGCTAGCAAGCAATTCTCGATCTCTAGAGGGTGTATATTCTCACCACCGCGGATGATCAGATCTTTGATCCGTCCAGTGATACTGATATATCCATCTGGTGACATGGAAGCTTCATCTCCAGTCTAAAATCACCGGGTCAGAGAAAACAGCTCTACTTCAAATGAAAATTGGAAGATTGGACTCACGTGCATCCACACCTTGCCAGATTCATCTGCAATCATCACTTCCGCAGTCTTTTCTGGAGCGGCCCAGTATTCCTTCATCAACAGGTACCCACTCACTGCCAACTCACCCCGTTTCTCTATAGGCAGAATATCTTTCTTGTTCACCGGGTCCACGATCTTCGCCTCGACATGTGGCATCAGTTTCCCGACAGAGTAGATCCGCTTATCGATGGGATCGTCTGTCGTTGTCATGGCCGAGACGGGGCTTGTTTCCGTCATTCCATAACAGATTGTCAATTCGGTCAGATTTAGTACCTTATGCAGTTTCTTCATTATTTCGGAAGGAATACTGCTTCCAGCAGCGATGCCGGTGCGAAGATGCTGGAATCCCTCGCTGGAGATTTCTTTCGTCTCGATCATGCTCAGCTGCTCGAGGAACATTGTCGGTACACCATGCAGCGCGGTACATTTCTCTTCTTGGACAGCCTCTAGAGCAGCACGAGCATTGAAGGATTCACTGGGGAAGACGATGGCTGAGCCGTGGGTTGCTGTCGCCATATAACCTAATATGCTGCCGAAGCAATGAAACAGCGGCGGTGGGCAACAGACAATATCATTTGGCGTGAGAAGCATGCGATCACCGATCTGAGAGCCGTTATTCAGGATGGAGCGATGGCTAAGGCATGCTGCCTTGGGCATTGACGTGGTTCCTGACGTGAACTGGATATTCACAGTCTCATGCGGCGAGAGATTTTGAGGAGGAAGCTTGCGGCCGTCTGCAGTAAGCTGGGACATAATGGATGCATATGGCGTCAAGCTTTTATATGATGATATATCCACGCGGCCCTCGGAATTGTCGACCATAATGATCTTTTTCAGAGAAGGAACCAATGCGGACTCCAAGTTTGACTTGTAGAGATCTTCAACAAGGTCATCGAGCAAGGGAACATTGCTTCGTGGTTTTTTTCGGGGCAGATTGGACTCTGTGCTAATTATAAGATGACTGGCTTCCAGGTGGCCCAAAGCCGCAATCACTTGTGCAGTATTGAAAGACGGATTGAGCGGGACCTATTAGATTATTAGCCACAAAGTCACATATCGCAATGTGTGGATCGACCTACCAAAACGGCACCAAGTTTGAATAACGCGTATGTTGCCTGGTCACGGAGATTAACCTAGTTAATCTCTTGTTAAATGTTTTAATGAACATCTAACGTACCACGGCGTATTCCATCGAGTTCCCAAGCATAACTCCAACCCGCTCCCCCTTCCCAACACCGACCGATCCCAGCCCCCGAGCGAGCGCATTGCTTCTTGCGTCTAAGGAGGAATAGGTTGCTCGATCATTCTGATGTCTTGAGATAACACTAAGGATAGTCAGTATCCCGAGTCTCAATTGTCCCAATCTTGAATCACGATTCTCACGCTGTTCTATCTCCGCATTTCGCGACAATCTTGGCGAAATGGTCGCCAACTGTGGACTCAATCAAGGGTGGCTATATATTGAAAGTAATATTGTCAGATAAATATTGCTTCACATCGCGTTTGGACAGGGAATACTCACACCTGATGGCCCTCTCGCATAGCTCTCTGTCAGTAGTCCCCTAGCCAATGCGTGCTGAACTCCAAAACAAGACCTCCGACAGGATACACGGCCTCTCAGGCCAATACCTTTAATAATTCCGCTGTAGCTCATGTTCATATGATTGACTGTCTCATAACTTTATGGACTGAAAATGACAGTATTGAATATGGCAGTGTAAAGGGTTAAGAGAGTGAAGAGGGAAAGTATAGCTTTCCCCGCACAATAAAAACTGCGGGGATCCCGAGGAACTACAATCTTTTACCCGAAACTACTGTCTTCTACGCAAGATAAAATATATCAAAAGTTCTATTCAATATCAAAATCGTTTCTAAACTAAGAATTCTTATTCAGTTCCGGAACCATCACAGTGCCCGCATCGGCACTTAAGGTCTTTTCTCTGCCAGTACTTATCACCATAGCTAACAGTGAGCTCTTCGAAAGGCATAATATCGCGGATGGCTTCAACTGTGCACACTACTCGGTTTCCAATGGTGCGGGTGACGAACGCCGTCGAGGGTCGGCACGAGTGGCTGATATAACGGGTCCAGTTACCAAATTCGTGAGGGCAAATTGTGGCCAAAGGGCGAGCTGGATTGGACTTCGTATAGGGCTCATCATCGCATTGCGACAAAGGATAGACATCTTCTACGCAATCGGGAAGAAGTTCACCCACAAATAAATCGAGGATGTCACCGCGGTTGAATCTCGTCAGTACTCGAATACCAGTACCCGTCTCGGGGTATTCTCTCAGCTCAACCAGTTCTCCTGCTCGAGATGCCAAGCGGCAATCACAACTAGCAGGATTGCCGCACATATGGCAAATGCGTCCGACGTTAGATGAACTGCCATCAGCCAGATGGCGAAGCGTTGGGTCCTGTTTCAAACCACCCCACTTCTTGGGATCATAGATACTCTCGCCAATGTGTTTCTGTAACTTGCCTTGATAAGTGGGCTCCTTCAATTTACCGTCGAGTGTGATGACGGTGTGGTGAGGGTGGTCGACTTTCCACTGCATGTATGTTTCGATTTCGGGTTTCATGTCTGGCAGGCCTGGAATGGGGTAGCCCTGGTGAATCCAAATCATATTACGCCACTTCAGGGTACGGCTGTGAGCATAAAGTTCAATACTCAAGGTGTTTTCTTGAATCTTATGGATCAGGAATCTCCAGGTTCTATCGTCGGCTTCTTTGATGCCTCGTCGGAATGCTTCGGCGTGGGCACAGATAGCAAAAATCTTCCATCCGAGCGCAGAAACAAACTCTAGGAATCTACTGTTAGGTGTGACAGGTTGAAACTCACCATGTTCCGCCTTGAAGGATTCTACGCAGGCCATGTAGTTGCCAATTTCCCGCTCGATAAATCCTTCTGTGAAGGTACGCATGTTGACGAACATCCCCTGACAATTATAAAAATTCTCTCCCGCAAGTCTCTCAATGTGGCAGTAGGTGTTGATATCATGGTACACGGCTAGGATGATATCAGTAGCCAGCTTGTTTGCCGTCTGGTTCAGCGCTTCTTCGGAGCCCCAGGGTGGGAAAAGCTTGTTCATGTCGACTTTGGGACGACTGGCAGCCTTGCCGGGAGCCTTCCTGTTAGCAATCTGCTTGTTGGTCTTGAAGGCCTTGGCCTTCTTGGTGGTGTTGTTGCGTGTCTGGGCCATTGTGATAGCTATAGAATATAACACTTTATGGATGTTTGTAAAGGTGGAAGCGAAATGCTGGATGCTGGATGCTGTGTTGTTTAGAATGTATGATGAAGGATTATTTGGCGGGGGAAGAGAAAGGTCTTTATACTCACTCGCTTCGACTCTCGAATAGCCCAAGTGCTGTATTGTTATGCACTGCTTTGTTTCAACCATAAATAGTATTGTGTAAAGACTTGGAGTAGGCCAAAGACCAAAGAGACAATGAGTTCTAGAAATATATATATATCCATTGTAAACTTGAACTGAGCCTTGACTTGAAGTAGTCTAAAAACAAAAAGGTGAAAGAAATGCCTGAGCAAGTCCAAATATATTTTAGTCTTAAAGTGAGAATCAAGGACCCCGGACAAAGTACCAAAGACACAAATAGCGGAATGACGCTTGGCGGTGGGGAAGCTCCGTTGCGCTTCTTTCTTCTTTCTTCCCAACTCTTTGCTTTGTTCTTTTCTTGTATCCCTGTCATGCTTGTACATTGATCTATTTTCAATTTCAGAGTCATGGCATCCGAACCGACCGAGGAAGCTATCACCAGCTTTGTCAGCTTTACAAGCACGACACGCGAACAAGCCATCGCCTTCTTGAAGGTAGGACACTGCCACTGGGCGAACAATGTCTGAGCTAAGTCTATTGCGTCCAGGGGAACAACCTCGACTCGCAGAAAGCGATCAACGCGTACTTCGAGGATCCGACAGGGTCTCAGCTAAAGGTAAGTTTGGCGACGCGCAGCAACTCATTGTCATGGTCTGACATATCAAAGCCGATAACTAGTTACTGGAATGACAACAGAGGTTCTTGTAAGATTACTTCCCTTGGAGGAACTCGATTTGGGAATTAACATACCCCTCAGCATGGGATTTTGCCCAGCAAGACAATGCGCCACCAATGCCAGCGACAGCACCGCCCTCTCGTCCTCCTTCACGAACAGACATATGCGACCCGGAACAAAACATTGGATATCAAGAGCCTGGCGCGATCGCCCCGAAAGGTATCACAATATTGGCAATTTCAACAGCAAGAGGTATACTAATTTGCGGTTATTGGACCATATAGAAGGCTCCGGACAAGGTCTCAGTCTGGCGGAACGCGAAGAAAAGGAATTACAGCAGGCCGTTGCTATGTCGTTGAATTCGGACATAGGACAGCAGGAAACCGGGGTGACGTTGAATAAGCAGTCGCAGTTCAACAAAGCAACCCGGGATCACTACGAAGAAGGCGCTTGGGCGATGACTCTATTCAACACATCCTCCGAAGAAGTCATGATTAGCCCAGACCCAGAAGACCGCAAAAGAGTGGAGGGCGAGCCTGCGTTCATCCGCCCCAACCCCGACGGCATTTACCTAGGAGGGCTTTTGACGATTCTCCACAGTATTCCTCTCGCGCGGGAAGCATTGCTCTTGCGGAACAAACCGCTGTTTGACTATGGTCATGATCCGCAATGGTGGAACGGGCAGCCTATCAACCTGCCAAAGATTGTCACGGTGAATGATGGCAAGACCAGGGATAGCGACTGGGATGATATCATCCATGAGACCCAGCGGTTGATGGCTTTCATGGATACCACGAAACGTGCTTTTGGTAGCAGCGACAGCTTAGCAAAGCTCAAAAGCATGTCATCCCTCTCGGCAGACTCGGAAGAGAGCGTCACCAGGTTTTTGGAAGCATGGCATGGTGCAGCTATTCAGGCAGATCCTGAAAATCCTCTAACAACCATATTCACGTCACATGCATACAGAAAAGAGCTTTTCGACGAGTTTGCTGAGCCTGATAGCAAGGAGCTGTTCACTTTTGAGCCTCCCGTTGAGCAGGACCATGGACAAACGCTCTATGAAGTTTTGGACTCCGCTTTATGGTCTGATAGACCGGGGAACGAGCTTGACGACGCATGGCTTGAACACTTAGCAGATGTGCTAGTCATTAGACTCGATGCCCTTAAAAAGCCAAACCCTGTGGGTGTGGACATTCATTCTGTGTTCTATCCAGATCGGTATCTTAGCAGCTGCCGAGATTTTGCTCGTGAGTTCCGTGCAAAACGACAGCAGATACAGGGAGATGTCTTGAAACTCGAACAACTCATAGATCGTTACACCAGCCCAAGGGAACCCGTGGGCAGTTCGACGATCACGGAACTCCTTGAAAAAGCTGCCCAGGCGGTGCCATTTGTTGCGCCGGAGCAAGTGCGCGAGTCTGATCAGCCCAGCTCCCGGGCGGCAGGTCCAGAGACGACGCGAGTCGCAGAGGAATTGAGAGCAATTGCTACCAAAATAGAAGCCAAGCTCAAAGGTCAAGACAACCATTACTACTATGCTCATGTCGTTAGCTAATATTTCGAGTACAGAACTGGAACTTAGAAAGCAGAGTGCCATGGAGTCTCTCCGTGAGATATCAAAGACACTTACCGAACCTCCCAAATCACCTTCCGACCCCCCTGTCCACAAGTATACGCTACGAGGCGTATGCACTGAACCGCATGTGACTTACGTTTTATCGAATCACAACACGACTGCCCCAGGACACTTGATGGATATGGACTCGGACACTGAAAAACGCAGCGACTACCAGTGGTGGCGTATCAGCTTCTCGGCGGAAGATGGGAAGACCCGACAAGCCGAGAAACGGAAAGCCCAAGGTAACACTATAGCCACACAGGATGGCGAGGTTGTTGGTTATACTGTTCGGAAAGTTCAGGAGATTGAAGTGCTCCAAGCCGCACGTGAAGAGTGGAGTTCTGTCTTACTCGTTTATGCGAGCGAGAATGCAGTGAATGCACCAGTGGATCCTGCGCCGTCTCAGCTTCAGGTAAGATGCACAGTCTTTCTCAGACCATTCTAGAGTTTTTGGCTAACTGGGAGTAGGGCTTCGTGAACAGAGACAACGATGCCTTCGGGAGCGAATTCGAGAATACCCCTACCATAATCTTTAGTGACCAGGAAGATTCCTGGGCGGAGTCGAACAACGCAGAAACTCAGCACAAAGAACAGCAGCCTGAAATGTCTGAGAAGGCCACACAGGTGAATGTCTTCGACTACGAGGTCTCCGGGTTCGACGACGAGCCAAAACCCAGCCAAGAGATGCAGGAGAAGGGTGGAGCGAGTCTCTTGGGCCATCGTGCCGCCGCAACTAGGCCCATGGCACCCACTTCTTCGCAAGTTGATCCAGAGTGGAATTATGCAGATGATGAGGACGCGACACATCATCTGGAGCACCTGAAGTAGCATTGAATGAAGCATGCGGGGAAGCCTACGAATGATGAGTGAATGATGAATATGTAGATACTGTAGAGCAATGCCAAGCTTAGGCCATATGCCAAATGGTTATATTGTAACCCCACGGTCCTAAGTATCGATCTAGTAATCCCATATTATAAGTAGACAGATGCTTGTGTAGAAACCTCCCGAGGCCCATGTTCGACCCTTTTTGTACTGATAAGCTTGTCCCCACATTTTGCCATGTTTGCACCGGACCTCACCAAGCTCCTGGCATCCTTTCTCTGTCAATTCTCCTCACAATTGTCCTAATTGATCTTTACTCTCCACAGACCATGGCCCTCGAAAGTGACGCAGTGGCTGGTGCCACCATCGAACTCCTCGAGGCGCGCCTCCGCCGCCTCACCTACCTCCTCACTGGCGCCACAGACTGGACCGGCGTCCCTACCACTCCCGAAAAGCCCGCATCCCTCGATGAGACAGTCTCCCGTCGACTTAGACGGCTTGAATCGGAATTAGAACGGCTTAGTCGGAGTGTACCAGCCGTACGGGACGTTCTACAACTCCGTATGTGACCATTGTTTATATTATTTACACGCGCATTTCCACCCCAACATGCCCCCTCATATCTTACGCTCTTCTTATCTGAACTCCCCATGTTTTCTGATATCTGTATAATGGAGAATTTCCACCTAAGACCATATCATTTAATATCTACTAACACAACCCCAACTAGACGACCGCAACCCCGACCTTTTCCAAACAACACCACCCCATCAAATCCCAGAAGGCCTCACAACCCAAACCCTAGCCTCAATAGTTCTCTCCTACGCCACCGCCTTCCCCGAAACCGCCTCACGCCTTACCTCGCTAAACGACCTCCCCGTGCCGGACGCACAAAGCTCCGCAGCACTAATCGACCTACAACCACAGCTAGATCGGCTCGCGCAGACCCAGAGTGAGCAGGCGGCTGAGATCTCAGAGCTGCGGGTGCGCACAGCGCGCGTGCTCCAGCGCTGGTATGACGTTGGGCTTGTTGGGAGTGGGGAGTGCTGGGCTGAGTGGGAGGGCAGACTTGAAGATGTTGAGAGGGAGGTTAGGAGAAAGGAGGTTATTAGGCAGGGGAGGGAGGAGGAGGTCTAGAGGTGACTCTTTTCTGCATGTTTTGTTTCGAGTGGTATTCCAGTGAGCAGCTAGAGTGGGATGCCTCTTGTTGTTGTTGCTGTTGTTTTTTTCGCTATGATACCTCTGATTTGGGCGTACGGTGCTTTTATCTTGAACAACGCAGATGGGATATTCCCCAGTTTAGCATACGACGTGGAGGGATTTAATCCACAACATTCATGTCCATATTCAAGTCTACATCTGTGGGTACGATGGAATATATATCCAGCTCACCCAAGCTAGAAATCTGATACGTCCCAAGGTGGCGTATGCAAGGCTATCCCCCGAAGCCCCTTCCTTGACCATGTAATTACCCCAAATGTTATATCATGCACATTCCTCTTTCCATTTGAAACCAACTGGAATGCGCTAGTCTACCCCAGGTTCTTCCCCGCAAAGTGTGGCTGATGATGGTACATAAAAATCGATATAAACTCCTGACTTGTTAGAAATAGTGATTACGGATTGACGTGCCTCTGAATGATGTGGCTAACATGAACAGGTCGCCTGCCCTGGTACGCGCAAAATCATGAAATCTAAAGTAGACCAAGAAAGACATGCTCATAAAGCCATAAAGCGGCTAAAACTTCA